ATACGACTGAGCCATGTAGTAAAAGTGTCATTGTTGTTACCGCTCTGTTTGCAGTTTACAGCCGTAGACGACGTCCCAGTCTATACAGCTACATGGCTACCGTGCATCGGTAGGTTTACTGCCGGAATGTTATTTGGAGTGAGTGAGTGTATGTGTGGTTAGATTTATCACGTCGGATGATACCCCAAATAGATTTACGTTCCGCTTCGAGGCCGGATATTGATCGTTCCCCGTGTTTAACGGGATCATGTGCGACATTAAATGTTGGCGATTCTGACGCCGATCTTCGGAAGGAAGCGTCGGTCGCTCCATCATTAGGTAGTCAAATGATGACGGTCACTGTGACTCCACGTTAAGGTTGACATTCGATGTAGGTCATGGTGACCTCAGGTAGCGCTTGTCCCAAGAAGTGGCTTTGGTCGCTGTGACTCCAAGATGAATTGCGTCCCTAGGGCACGCCAGAAACCTATGATTGTGGGTTCGAATTCCGGTTCGCCCCGATTATGTTTCTAGGTTTGTCAGCACCATACCCGTGCTCGTGGGTTTCACCGAAGTGCTAAACGTCTGAGACCTGCATCACTTCGGTCTTTCCTCCCACATTAAGCTGACACGCCGTGATATAACTGGAATAATGTTAAAAGCGGCGTTAAACCCCACTCACTCACTCACCCAAGATGAATATGACACAAGAGGTTGGTAGATGTGACCCCATGATTATTTGGTCTTTTTACTCCAAGATGCCATCGTCATGAACTGTTGGTCATTGTTACTCCATGCCTAAGCTAATGGATAGGACCCGTGAAGATCCGGTTTAAAATGGGTCTTCAGCAACCCATGCTTGTCCTAAGAGGCGACTATGCTTGTCGTAAGAAGCGACTAACGGGATCGGGTGGTCAGGCTCGCTGATTTGGATGATGTCATCGTATTCCAATTGCGTATGTCGATGCCTATGATATCGATCACTGGATTGCCTGGTCCAGACTCGGTTATTTACAGACCGACGTCTTATAGCTGGAATATTACTGAGTGCGGCGTTAAACAACAAACAAACAAACAAAAAATATAATGGATAGGAGGCCTTCATCACAATATATTGGTAACATTGTCTCAAACATTTGTTTGTCACGGGGCGTTGGCAACACTGACTCAAACATTTGTTTGTCACGGGGCGTTGGCAACACTGACTCAAACATTGGTTTGTCACGGGGCGTTGGCAACACTGACTCAAACATTTGTTTGTCACGGGGCGTTGGCAACACTGACTCAAACATTTGTTTCTCACGGGGCGTTAGTAACATTGACTCCAACATTAGTTTGTCACGGGGCGTTAGTAACAGTGACTCAAACATTAGTTTGTCACGGGGCGTTAGCAACACTGACTCAAACATTAGTTTGTCACGGGGCGTTGGCAACACTGACTCAAACATTAGTTTGTCACGGGGCGTTGGCAACACTGACTCAAACATTAGTTTGTCAGGGGCGTTGGCAACACTGACTCAAACATTAGTTTGTCACGGGGCGTTGGCAACACTGACTCCAACATTAGTTTGTCACGGGGCGTTGGCAACACTGACTCCAACATTAGTTTGTCACGGGGCGTTGGCAACACTGACTCAAACATAAGTTTGTCACGGGGCGTTGGCAACACTGACTCAAACATTAGTTTGGTATCTGACTTTTGATAGAGATAGGAAATTTGTTTGGGCACTGCTTCAGATATCGGGCTTTCACTTCGGGCTTTCCTCCCACTTTAAGCTGACACTTTGTGAAATCACTGATATACTGTTCAAAGCAGCGTTAAGCCAAACTCGCTGACACCATTTGGGACCTATGTTGTACTTATAGCATTAGGTGATATATGATGGATCAGTATATGAAATAACCATGTGACACCGTGACAGTGTATGAGTGAGTGAATGCTGTATTACACTGCCGCCAGCAAAGCAAATTGGAGGTGAGGTGAAATGGAGTTTAACGTCGCGTTTAAGATTATTGCACTTATATAGCGACGTGCACGCCCGTGTGTGTGGCTGGTTGTACTAGTCCGGACTAATGATTTTATATAGCTAGCCCACAAATATACCATTCCGCAGTTTAACATGAATACCCTACTCAGACACAGTATACACAGACACTCCGAGCCGACCAGTCCTTTTTTTAGCCCCTAATGCCGAGCGCCAGGATGGGTAACAACAAGTACCATCTTTTAACGTCTCTTGGTATGACGCGGCCGGATCGAACGCCCGACCTTCCGCTCTCTGATCGGACGCTCTAATACTAGAGCATGGAGGCGGTCTTTAGCAATGGAACATATTCCAGCTATACCGCGGCCGTACGTCCAGGCAATCCAGTGGTTGAAAACATGAGCAACGATCTCTGGGGCACGATGGGCACGCAATGATTCCAATCACCGAGTCTGACCACCAGATCCAATTTGTATTTTTGTTGTTTAACGCCGCACTTATAATATTCGGAGCCTAATATTCCAGCTATAGGAAGATGGCCTGTAAATAATTTAGTATGGGACAGAAAAAAACCCAAAACAGTGGTAGATATTATGAGAATCGTGTCACATCGTCAGTGTACGATGACACGCAGTCAACCAAATCACCGAACCGGACCACGGGTTCATTAGGCTACCTCCTGCGACATGCGTACGATGTTGGTCATCTTCCCGAGGCAAGCGTGTCCATTAGCCTATACCAAAGCCTAGTGGAAACAAGACTTTGACAAACAAGCTAGAGGACACTCTTGCCTTGGGAAGATGGAGGTAGATTCTTGGGGACCAATCCTTAACCGGAAAATTCCTACAAAGTTGGGATAAAGATAGGAGATAATGAGTGAGTAAGCTCCTCTTCAGAAACCAGGATACCTTGGGGAAACAGCTCAATATGGTGGAGCAAAGCCGAAATATATCTGAGAAAACCGGCTGACGGACCAGAGATCGTCATTTGAGCGAAGCTGAAATTTGAACCAACGATTCTGGAGCGACTAAGGGACGTAACTCTACATAGCGCATGCCGACGTCTTAATCCAGTTTATGTTATATGGGAGAGTGTGATAACACAAAGTGAGATGTGACAGACGGAATTGATTTGCTGTATCAAAAATATTATTCTTACTGGGTTTTATTATGACCATTGTAATATATGATATAAATAGATGCATATTATTATTTCAGCTCTAATAATGTAATGTTCAAAAAGAATATAACAGACCAACAGGAATTAACAACGGAACTGGATTGGATTGGGCTGCACATTCATCGATCAACAGCTGGAAATATTAGCACCATAAGTATCACCTGATAGATTAAGTGCATGGTCGTACCCCGATGGCAGTGGTCGAATCTCTCACTATGGTTTATCTGATCCAGATCCAACAACATGCAACATGCGCCTATAAAATTTCTACTACTACTACTACTACTACTACTACTGCTACTGCTGCTGCTGCTGCTGCTGCTGCTGCTGCTACTACTACTAGGCCAACATATGTCTATGTCTCATTACCGCCCATCTTTACATACTTTAATGCATGCTAAATTCGGTTCCAGTTTCGCATTTTTGGAGTTATTTTTCATTCCGAAGTTGAACTTTTTGATGTAACCCGTGCAGACGACAACGCCGCTCGAGATTGGCAAAAGAAGTACTGGTAGGTTTCTAAGCTTTGGAGGGTCGTATTAGTACAATTATAAATTTAGTTGGGTGTGGGTGTGAAATCGAAAGAAATAATAATTACAATTTGTTCTACATCAACTCATTTATTTTCATAAAGTGACGAGAAACAAAAATCTGTTTAAATATGGCCTTACTATTACTACTACTGCTACCACTACTTCTACTACTACTATCAATCACTGGTTTGTCTGGTCCAGACTCGATTGTGTACAGGCCGCCGTCATAAGCTGATTTCCCATGTCCATCATTGTCTTCTTTAATAGTGCAAGCTACAACGTCCTGAGTCAATACTACAATTAATATACTGCCTGGCAAAAGGAAGTATATCACCCGTGATTGATGGTGGCCCCAAAAAATTATTTGATGGTCATATAATGAAGAGAATGAATCAGGTATTGTCATGATCTGTTTGAATTGGTTCACAGATACCAGACAATCGGTGTAGTAGCGTTTTTATAACTTTTTATAATTTTCTGGTCAAGTCCAATTTTCAAGTGTATACTTTATTTTGCTCTGGCAGTTTATACTCTTTCTCTGGAACTACGTCTACTAATTGCCCCAACAGTTACTTTGCACTCGCCACAAGTAATACAACTAAGACAACAAATACCTCTTCTACGACTGCTATGTTGGTATGGCAAGTTTGGATAGACATGATAAAGTCCCCCTCCTCCCTCCCCCGCGACGCCTCCCCCTGTGCTAGCATGCCCCCTTCCCTGTATCGATTGATAAGGCCGTCGCCGAGGCACGAAAAGTAGCGGATTTTTTAATTGCACTTTCCAAATACAATGTGGAGTAGGACGAGGAGAGCGGACTTATTTAATCTCTGGATATCGTCCAATATTTAATATCCACCAGGCAACACTCGATCCGCTACATAGTAACAATTACGTAGCGTTTCATAAAGAAAGCTGCCATCTCTTTGATCCGATTTTGTAATTTTGTTGGGGGAGTCTTGTTTGATGTTAAAGGGTCATAAGTGTTTGACGTGCTTCACAAATCGGAAATATTATATCCTGTGATGGAATGTTTTTATTAATTTGATACTTTTATAGACAGTTTTCACTGGATGGTTGTCACCACAGACGGGAACGTGCAAAGTCGCAGCGAGAAGCAACTGACAATTTATAGAGGGGGTCCCAGATCGCATGGGACAAGGTTTGTGATGAGGAATTGACAGTACCACTGGTATGCATGTTGTATCTATCGGGCTGCTGTCGACAAATGACATTTAGCCTTTCCGCGGACCAGAGTCCCGACTACCGTCGACACCGACGCGAGATACTTAGATGGGTACATATTGACTCTGCCGTTGCGATCACGTCACTTCTGTGGAGGAAATTTGCCTTGCGGCTTTTCGTCACCTTAATTTGGGCCTGGCCTTGCCACGACTCTAAGAAGTGGATCATTGAGGAAAAACGCCTGATTAACAGATCGGATTAATTTCCCGGGAGAAAAAAAGACTTTTGTTTTTGACAGGTTATTGCAATGGAGCGAGGGCCAGCGCTGGTCTCTGCCGGACCCACGTAAGCGGGACCAAGCCCGTTGCAAGGAGCAGGCGAACGGACAGCCAGCTATTATCCCTCTTCTCCCTCTCTGCCCCGCTGCCGAACGTCCGCCGATCAGTCATCTGCCCAACTCGAGCCAAAGAAGACTCAGGGATTTCCCTCACTGAAAAAAATCACCGTCTCAATTGGGCGTGCCACGTGTGTGACGCTCCGCGCTCCCTCGCCCCCTCACAACGTCACTCGCCCCCTCCCCAGGATTTACCCCACCCGACTACCTGCTGTAGCACGGGGGAGCTGTTATGCGTCGCTAGTAGCTACCTGGAAATCTACTACTCTTACTGGACTTATATCACACATGTCAATATGCCGTTCTGGGGGTACCTCCTCTTCGTAACAGGTAAGCCGCTTTGTTTAATGTTGTCACATTGTTACAACTTTTTCTTTGAAGCCGCCATGGGTTATGATAATGGTATATACTTTGTACAGACATTGCCCTAAAATTGCGCTCGCTAAGAAATGAGTGAAAAGCGTCAACTTTGGCCTTTCACGGCCATTCTCTGACGTGTAAGTAGAACCTTCAGTGGAGTTTATTAACAAGACCCCTCTTCGGTCTGGCAAACATAGCTTTCAAACAAACTAACAAATAGCGTGTTTATCGTAAATGCCCGTTTTGTTTACAAAGCCTTTCCGACTATTAGCGTCCCATTGAGGAGTGGAGTTGAGAGGGATAAATGTTTATCTTCTATGACGGGAGATGGGGAGATGGAGACAGTGCCCCACCTCAAGCCTCGCCAGGCCAACAAAAACGGCCGTGTGTCACGCGGAATGAAATAGTGACAAAGACAATCGCCTCGGTGACAACACTCCCGCCATCCCCCTCCACTCGGCCCTGCCTTGATCGCGGGGTCCGTTCGCCTCCCCCGGGGGGTCCGCTCCCTTCATCTTCTTTAACGCGGACTCGCCGTCTTTTTATAGTCCTTAGGCTCAGATAATGTGACCATAAAAACCCCGAGCCGTATAACAGATAACGCTCCCTCATCTACCGGCCTCCATAGAAGAGCCCATCAGCTGTGTTCGAAAACTAAGCATTCCTCGGAGGTTCAGGGAAGCCTCTCTGATTCCGCCTGCTGGTTGACTGGTCATCATAAACTGCCACCCCAGAGTAAGGGGGGCTATTATCTCCGAAACGTGAGCACTTCACAGGCAGGAGCAGTATCAGCTAACGAAAGTGTGTAAAAGATCTCCCTGTACTATAAAACCAACGCTCTTACACATGTAACGTCACTTAACCACTTAAGCTCATCGTGTTTCAAAGATGATTTTAAGTTGCGAGACAGGAGGTGAAGATCCCAGCATTGCATTGTTTCACACAGTGTCCCGTGAATAGTAACTTGTTAACCCTTTATTGCATTGTTTTGCGTAGTTTTTCGTGAAGAGTAAATTGTTAACCCTTTATTACATTGTTTTACACTATGTTCCGTGAACGTTGACTTGTATAACCTGTATTACATTGTTTCAGACAGTGTCCCGTGAACGCTGACATGTATACCCTGTATTACATTGCTTTAGACAGTGTCCCGTGAACGCTGACATGTATAGCCTGTATGACATTGTTTCATACAGTGTCCCGTGAACGCTGCCATGTATAGCTTCTATTACATTGTTTCATACAGTGTCCCGTGAACGCTGACATGTATAGCTTCTATTACATTGTTTTAGACAGTGTCCCGTGAACGCTGACATGTACAGCCTGTATTGCATTGTTTTAGACAGTCTCACATGAACGGTAACTTGTGTAGCTAATATAACATTGTTTTACACAGTGTCCCGTGAACGTTAACGTGTATAGCCTATTGCATAATTTTACAGTGTCCCATGAACGTTAATATGAATTGCTTTTATTACATTGTTTTACACAGTGTCTTGTTAACGTTCACTTGTATAGCCTTTAATACATTGTTTTGCACAGTGTCTCGTGAACGCTGACTATACCTTGTGTTCCATTGTTTACACAGTGTCCTTCGAACGCAAAGACGTATGCATTTAGATTATAAGTCGTTTTTAAAAGAAACATTCACTGTGGAGAGAGATATATAACAATTCAAATGTACTTTCTGTTTTTATGAGAGCACAGGTGGTTGGTCCTCTTTCCTGTGAAGAGGTTTTTAAACAGTCATAAATGCGTAGTTGTCACGCTGAATGTGGGCGGGCTACAACAACCGCAGCACCCCTCTTCCTGTCCAATCTGGGCCTCGTTCTGCGAAGCCTGTGTTGAAGCATGGGTGTTATGATCACTTAACGCTAAGACCGCTTTGTGGAACGGGGCTCTGAACTGTAGAACAACCGACGTGTACAGACATTGTAATATAACACGCGAGTACACGCATCGTTGTTTGATGAGTCGCAAGCATTTAAATGCAACGCGCGAGTATCAACAGCTAGTGAGTTAGTCATGTTTAACGCCGCTCTGTACGATATTACAGTTCTATCACTGCGTGTCAGCTGGATGTGGGAGGAAAACCCGAAGTGACGGTGGGCGATGTAGCACAGTAGGCGAATACCGGCATTGCGGTACGATAGCCGGGTATCGGCAATGTAGCACAGTAGGCGAATACCGGCATTGCGGTACGATAGCCGGGTATCGGCAATGTAGCACAGTAGGCGAATACCGGCATTGCGGTACGATAGCCGGGTATCGGCAATGTAGCACAGTAGGCGAGTACCGGCATTGCGGTACGATAGCCGGGTATCGGCAATGTAGCACAGTAGGCGAATACCGGCATTGCGGTACGATAGCCGGGTATCGGCAATGTAGCACAGTAGGCGAATACCGGCATTGCGGTACGATAGCCGGGTATCGGCAATGTAGCACAGTAGGCGAATACCGGCATTGCGGTACGATAGCCGGGTATCGGCAATGTAGCACAGTAGTCGAATACCGGCATTGCGGTACGATAGCCGGGTATCGGCAATGTAGCACAGTAGGCGAATACCGGCATTGCGGTACGATAGCCGGGTATCGGCAATGTAGCACAGTAGGCGAATACCGGCATTGCGGTACGATAGCCGGGTATCGGCAATGTAGCACAGTAGGCGAATACCGGCATTGCGGTACGATAGCCGGGTATCGGCAATGTAGCCCAATAGTCGAATACCGGCATTGCGGTACGATAGCCGGGTATCGGCAATGTAGCACAGTAGGCGAATACCGGCATTGCGGTACGATAGCCGGGTATCGGCAATGTAGCACAGTAGGCGAATACCGGCATTGCGGTACGATAGCCGGGTATCGGCAATGTAGCACAGTAGGCGAATACCGGCATTGCGGTACGATAGCCGGGTATCGGCAATGTAGCACAGTAGGCGAATACCGGCATTGCGGTACGATAGCCGGGTATCGGCAATGTAGCACAGTAGGCGAGTATCGACAAAGAAGCATTACACTCGAGTAAGCAGTGCAGTACAATAGGCGAAAACAGTTACTGTACTGCAATAGACAATATTTGATCAACACGTTTAATGTAGTGCAACAGACAAGTATTACTCAAAACAGTTAATGTAGTGCAACAGACAGGTATTCCTCAAAACGGTTAATGTAGTGCAACAGACAGGTATTGCTCAAAACGGTTAATGTAGTGCACCATACAGGTATTCCTCAAAACGGTTAATGTAGTGCAACAGACAGGTATTGCTCAAAACGGTTAATGTAGTGTACCATACAGGTATTGCTCAAAACGGTTAATGTAGTGCAACAGACAGGTATTGGTCAAAACGGTTAATGTAGTGCAACAGACAAAAATTGCTCAAAACAGTTAATGTTGTGCAATAGACAAGTATTATTCAAAACGGTTAATGTAGTGCACCATACAGGTATTGCTAAAAACGGTTAATGTAGTGCGCAATACAGGTATTGCTCAAAACGGTTAATGTAGTGCAACAGACAGGTATTGGTCAAAACGGTTAATGTTGTGCGCCATACAGGTATTGCTCAAAACGGTTAACGCAGTGCAACAGACAAAAATTGCTCAAAACAGTTAATGTTGTGCAATAGACAGGTATTATTCAAAACGGTTAATGTAGTGCGCCATACAGGTATTGCTGAAAACGGTAAATGTAGTGCAATAGACAGGTATTGCTCAAAACGGTTAATGTAGTGCAAAAGACAAGTATTGCTCAAAACGGATAATGTAGTGCGCCATACAAGTATTGGTCAAAACGGTTACTGTAGTGCAATAGACATGTATTGCTCAAAACGGTTAATGTAGTGCAAAAGACAAGTATTGCTCAAAACGGATATTGTAGTGCAACAGACAGGTATTGGTCAAAACGGTTAATGCAGTGCAATAGACAAAAATTGCTCAAAACAGTTAATGTTGTGCAATAGACAGGTATTATTCAAAACGGTTAATGTAGTGCACCATGCATGTTTTGATCAAAACGGATAATGTAGTGCGCCATACAAGTATTGGTCAAAACGGTTAATGCAGTGCAATAGACAGGTATTGCTCAAAACGGATAATGTAGTGCACCATACATGTTTTGATCAAAACGGTTAATGTAGTGCGCCATACAAGTATTGATCAAAACAGTTAATGTAGTGCAAAAGACAAGTATTGGTCAAAACGGTTAATGTAGTGCAAAAGACAAGTATTGCTCAAAACGGATAATGTAGTGCGCCATACAGGTATTGCTCAAAACGGTTAACGCAGTGCAACAGACAAAAATTGCTCAAAATAGTTAATGTTGTGCAATAGACAAGTATTATTCAAAACGGTTAATGTAGTGCGCCATACAGGTATTGCTCAAAACGGTTAATGCAGTGCAACAGACAAAAATTGCTCAAAACAGTTAATGTTGTGCAATAGACAGGTATTATTCAAAACGGTTAATGTAGTGCGCCATACAAGTATTGATCAAAACGGTTAATGTAGTGCGCCATACAAGTATTGGTCAAAACGGTAAATGTAGTGCAATAGACAGGTTTTGATCAAAAGGGTTAATGTAGTGCACATACAGGTATTGCTCAAAACGGTTAATGCAGTGCAACCGACTAGTATTGATCAAAACGGTTAATGCAGTGCAATAGACAGGTATTGGTCAAAACGGTTAATGTAGTGCACCATACATGTTTTGATCAAAACGGTTAATGTAGTGCACCATACAAGTATTGCTCAAAACGGATAATGTAGTGCAACAGACAGGTATTGCTCAAAACGGTTAATGCAGTGCAACAGACAGGTATTGCTCAAAACGGTTAATGTAGTGCGCCATACAAGTATTGCTCAAAACGGTAAATGTAGTGCAACAGACAGGTATTGATCAAAACGGTTAATGTAGTTCCATACAAGTATTGCTCAAAACGGTAAATGTAGTGCACCATACATGTTTTGATCAAAA